CCAACACAAACATTCTTAATTATTGTGAATAAGAAATAAGATCTTTTTTGATCAATTAATTCTTTTTTTAAATTTTAATCATTAGATAATACACAACAAGATAATAAAAAAAATCAGTGCCGAAATGATAATGAGATAACATCGTTTTTTCCTTATAAAACAACAATCGACGCAGTCATAGGTATCAATTTCATTGAAAAAAAATATTCGTTTAAGATTTATCATTATTATGAATGAACTCTTTCATGTTCTTATTTTTACTTCTTTGTTGATTATGTATTCTATCCTGTTTCAAATGAACTTATATTTTTAATAATTATCAAATTAAGAATAAAATGAATTAGTAAATAAATTAACAAAGGATCAATTGTTGAATTTATTTCTATATGTCAAATCTTTATTACATTTTTTCATCATGTCTAATTCTTAGAGATTGTATTTCTAATTAATATTTCATAATATTAAATTAAAGAAATGGAAGAAGAATATATACAGGATAATTTTGTTTTTAGCTATAGATGAAACTGTAAAATAATGAAAATAAAAATCTTGAATTAATTTTAGAAGTTTTATTTTATTTCAAAACTTTTAATGTTTGTTTTTTTTATAAAACGATTACTTCTAATATAAAAATGTTTCCAGTAAATCTTGTATAATATGTTTAAATAAAAAAATAAATGATAAATTTGAATGAAAACTAATTCTAGTATAATCATCGATAAAAAAAGAAAAAGAAAAGATCTAATTAATAACAACATAATGAATATAAGAAGTAGTCAGAAGAACAATCTACATGGTAATCATTCTTCTACGTAGAAATTTAAATATGAAAAACAATAAGTTATACTGAGATTTAAATATAAAACAAAAAAAAAATAGTTACACATTTCAAAACATCAAGAGAAGAATTTTTATCCGTCTTTATGAATGTTCAATTGCTTCTTTTTTTAACTATTTTCTTTGAAACGGTAGATTTATTTTTCTTCTTGTAATTAAGTAAACCAAAATAATTAGACATAGCATGTTTTATTTCTGCCGTTGTCGTTAATTCACTTGCATGCGCCTTTTGCACACAATCTATGTAACAAAAACAAATAAATTATGAAAATGAAAAAACTGGATTTACCAACGATTGCATCAACAAGTGCTTTGTCCATATTCGATAATTTAAAATTTAGTTCAGGATTTGGATAAAGATACTTGAGTATTGAGCGAGCTGTTGATGTTGACTTTTCTTTTTTTAATGAATCTAATGTTGCATCATCAATATTTAATATTGTAATAACATTTGCTGTTTTATCATCATCATTATTTACGGTAACAAGATCATCATTATTGACCGTAACAAAATCATTATTATTTAACATGATAACATCATTATCATTATTCGAGCTTTGTATAATATCATTGAAAAAATTTTGAACACTAGTCATATGTTGCTGAATTGCTAAGTAAAAACAACGAAAAATGCGAATAGAATTAAAACTTATAAATTTACATAAAAATATGTTCTCCAAAAATTCAACACGCTGTTCAATATCAATACATCGCTTTTTTAAATTAATCATTTCAATTTCTTTGTTACCAATAGAATTTGAATCAACTAATTCAATTGCTCGCTTTTGACCAACAGTAAGTGGACAATCTAAATTCAATGAAGAATTATAGTTCGTTAGACAATAAGTGAAACTATACTT